TTCCCCTTCAATCTCAAATCGACGACGGGGAATACTTTTATGATTACTTTTACGCAACTGAACTTCTTGAGAATTTAGTTCGCCAGGCGATGCTACACTCCCACTAGGTCTTGTATGTTGAGGTAAATATGTATTTCCCTCAATAACATCAATGGGTGTATTATCGGGATCTTCCATCTCATATAATTGGAAGTCCTTATAGATTTCACCTCTACTAGGAAAATCGTTCTCCAAGAATATGACATCTCGTGACTCTATTTCAGTCACACTTCTATCAGCTTGTTCACCTATGAACACATACCCTTTGGAGTGTTCAGAGTATCTAATAAAGATACACTTCTTCCTTCTAGGGCATAATTTGTCATATTTATGGGAAGAATCATGAACATATGCTGCACACCCCCAAGGTCGTAGATTACTTAAGTCTGGCTTCCTACCAGTCCACAATTTATAAGGGGTGAAAGCAACTGACTTAGAGGGCACACGATTAAATATATAGGCAGCAGTCAATAACGCATCTCCCCAATATGAGACAGGTAGATTTGCCTGTGCAATCATAGACTTAACCATTTCAAATATGGTTCTATTACTTCTCTCTGCAACCCCATTTTATTGTGGAGTACCAGGAATAGTCAATTGTCTTACAATTCCCTTTTCATCACAAAGAGCCTTGAATTGCTCAGATAGATACTCACGTCCGCGATCTGTTCTCAATGCCTTTATTGTTTTGTTCAACTCATTCTCTACTAAAGCTATAAACCGTCTAAAGCAATCTAATACTTCGGACTTATGGGAGATCAAAAAAACATAACTGAAACGCGTGAAGTCATCTATAAAAGTGATGAAATATGAAGCTCCATGCCTCGCCCTCACATTTAATGGATCACAAATGTCAGAATGTATGAGTTGCAATGGAAGTTCAGCTCTGGTTCCTTTACCAAATGGTTTTTTTAGTTGTTTTTCCCGTTAGACAATGTTCACATACCAGTAGTTCAACATTTGCGAGTGACCCCAAAAGGCCTTCTCTAGCTAATCGTTTCATTCTTTGTAACCCAATGTGACCAAGTCTAGCATGCCAAGTACTTGCATCAATCTCCACGTTACTAAAATATGCAATTAAAGAAAAACAACCATCAACATTAACTTTGTACACATCATAGTCAATGTCTAACACCATAAAACCATTCAATACATAACCCGAACCGTAATAAACTATTCCAAACAAAATGTCAACACAATCACCATGAAAATTAAATACATAACCTAAGCCAAGAAGAACAACTACAGAGATCAAGTTTCATCAAATATCTAGAGCATAGAGGACATCATGTAGGAATAGGTTTCATCCACCACGAAAGGTTAATTTACATGTGGCAATACCCTTCACTTCAACTCTTGAGTTATTTCCAACATATATCCATCTTCTTCCAGGTTGTATCCGACGATACTCCACAAATGCTCCTCGGTCTCTAACTACGCGGTCTGTTGCTCCTGAGTCTACAGTCCACATTAAATGAGATTCAGCAAGCATTACAGTGCTAGAAACAAAAGCATTACTTAAAGTAATGAAGTAATGTGGTACATTTTTCGGCTTAGTGCATTGACGAGCGAAGTGGCCCAGTTTACCACAATTGTAGCACTTCATCTTGGCTTTATCCTTCTTTCCGCCCTGCTTCTTGCATCGGAAGATCTTAGCTCTTTTGGGTGCTGATTAGTCTCTTTTCATTTGTTGTTGAATTTATGGTTCCTCTTGTGCTTAAAGCCCAAAGCTTTGCTCGAACCTGATTCAGCAACATAAGCATGGGTAGAGGATTTTGCAGCCTCTAGGCACTCATCTTCTAATTCCAAATGACGCGCAATATCTTCAAAAGTAACGATATTCTCATTGTGCGTCATATTGATTTTCATATGTTCCCAACTGTTAGGAAGAGACCTTATAACAGTATGAACTTACTGTTCATCAGTTAGGGTATGACCTGCCGACTTCAGCTCACGTATCATGTTTGACATCTCTCGATGATACTGTCTCATCGTTAGATTTGAGCGCTTTCGGTACGTGTCAAATTTGATGGTGAGCCTCCTCAACTTTGTAGTAGACGTACCCCCAAACTTATCTTTCAAGGCAACTGACATTGCTTGAGCTTTGTCATAATTTTCAAACTCACACATGAGATTATCTTGCATACAACTCAGTAATGTGATGCGAGCAATGCTAATTTTCTTTTTCCAAGCTTGATAAGTTTCTTGATCTTTTCTGTGTTAAGCAGAAGTTCCATGCTCAGGTTCATCCATGATGTGGTTGAGGGTTTCCAAAACCTCTTACTCCTTAAGGATATAATGAACTTTTCGGTACCAAATATCATAATTGTCACTGTTCAGTTTGTCACCCTTGTTGAGGTCAGCCACAATGGTCTTGGATGTCCAAGCCATAATCAATTTCTACTATACATTGACATAATAAACACATAATAATATTAGCATATTTTCCACATAAACACACATTTTAATTTGTAACAAAGACAAACTAAATTAATGATAATTTAACAAAAGATATCGAAACGAAAGTTCACTATGTTCCCAATCAGCTCTGGCATACAATTGTTCTACTATTATCAACTTATTTAATTTACGCAAATTTTAAGTTCTAGGTGAGAACTCCTTTGCATTCTATCAACCTATGAACTCCCACTAGAAAAGATGATTACGTGACCTCACGTAATGATCACCAACTTACAAATACTTCATTACATCAAATATAATCATACGTGGAATTCAAGACATAATGAAAAAATAATGATCTCCAGCCATTGTTCGAGTCAGCTTGGAACTGAAATTGCAAGCTCGTTAAGCCTTATAAACATGCTATCAATGAAGCATGCTCTACACAATCTATATGTGGTCATTTACATGTAAGCCAACTTCTGTATTTCCAAAACCATAGGAAAATACAAGTAAAAATGTAATAATACCCCAAAATATATGCGTATTTAGGGTTCCATATGCATTTTTATACCTTTAAAAGCTTCAAACATATAAAATAATTACACCACAATGTAGAGAATTTAAATACGAACACAACGGTACCAACCATGCTCTAATCGAAGCTTTCACATGCCCACACGCGCCACTTGAGTGCGCGGCTCGTGTAGTTCACGCTCCAGGGCTCCAAATCGGTTCTTAACCGGGTCCGACCGGTTAACCAGTCAACGCGTCTGGTCATCGGGTCGGGTTGTTCCGAACTGGTCGGGTCACCGGCCGAGTCGGTTCGCTGGTCGGCCGGTCGCCGGAGTGTCGGTTCGCCGGCGAGATGACGCCATCAATGACGTCAGCGTATCGGTTATCGACAATTTTGATGATGTCATTGATGATGTCATCACGTTGCCAGCGCATTGGGCGCATGGCCCCCAAGCACCGCGGCTTTTGGCCACGCGTGTGGGTGCGTCTGGCGTCTTCCGGCGGCGTGCAACCTGCCGTTTTGATCGTCTCGATGAGTACTTTCACCCTGTTTCATAAAAAATGATTTTCTCCGAAAAAATATTTCGAAAAACGATCAGAACAGAATTGACGTTTATCCTCCAAACCCGTTCTTCGCGTCCGATTTCGTTTTCGACGATTCATGTTGCAATTTCCGAGCAATGAACATCCAGACAACATGAAGTTCAGCTTCTCGATTCCCATATCAAATAACAAGCATAAAAATTCGACGGAAAAACAAGGCAAAGATCATAACTATGCTCTGATACCAATGTTGGAAGTAAGTGTCGGAAGAATTGATTACCTGTTCGATGCACTACGAACAAATTTTCCAGGATCGTACGTTGAATCACCAGCGAATGATGGATGAATCTACTTCACGTTGATCCGAATACAATCACGAGGAAAGTATTCTCGTTCCACAGCGTTAATGCCGACTGTCTTCTCAAAGTTGATACGGAATCCTTATTCATCTTTCTTTGATGAAGAGAGGAGAGATAGAGAGAGAAAGAGAGTTCTATTCTTCAGAACTTACTTATCTCTTGTTAGATTTTCATATTGAGAAAGCTACCTTAACTTCCATTAAGAAACTCTCATCGCACCTTTTCAAAAGGTGTCTCTCAGACACACTTCTAATTAAAGCAAATGGTGCCCGTTAGATACACTCATCATGGGCGGACCGACGAAATATAACAATTTTGTCCGTAGAGTCTATTAAAAGCTCAGGAGTCACATTGTCTTTGAGATCAACCTCTAATGAGCTAATCTCAAAGAAGGGCAGTTGTTAACACTTGATTTTTAGCTCATTTTTCTAATTTTTCCAAAAATCACAAAATTAGGATTAGAAACCTTGGCTAAGCTTAGGAACCTATTTCTAAACCAAAAATAATTTTTTTTTTAGAATTTTCTTGAATTTTTCCTTAATTTCTTTTGGTCAAAATAATATAGAAAATCAAGAAAAATAGCAAATGGAATCCAAAAATTCCATAAAAATAGTCATTAGTCTTATTTTGAAACCAATTTCATCAATACAGCATCAATTTTAGAAAATTTCAATTGGGAAAGTGCTTTTCCCAAAATTGGGTAAAAACAAGCCCAAATTAAATAAAATATTCAATTGAGTCATTTCTAGTCATTTTTAGGCTATAGTATCTTCACAACAAATGATTATGGAACCTTGAATTACATAATGGTCAGTCCAATTGCACAATTTGCCAAAGAAATCGAAAAGCCCCAAAATTCTATTGAAAATAAGGGATTTTAAGCTAAATTGGGGATCATAATCAATTTGAAATTGTCGAACCTTGAGATCATCATTTTAAGGGTTAATCAGTCATGGGTAATCCAATTTCGGCATCAATTTTTCCCAATCAAGTCATCTAGATGTTAAATTGAACAAAAACCCTAATGATCCAAATTTACAATTTGAGAATTTTGGGTTTTTTTTTTTTGTCAGAACTAAACGCTTTTCATTAATAACCAGAGACAGAGGAACCCAGTAACGGGGTATCAAAACAAAGCAGTTCAGAGAGGGCCTGCGGAGGACTAGTCAACCAGTGTTGAGAGAGCTTTTTTTTCCTGTAAGCCTTCGCTACCCAGTCCGCTACCCTATTTCTATTTCTATTACAATATTGGAGTTTAATATTAGAGAAAGAAAGAAGCAGCTCACGTGCTTCACAGATGAGGGCCATCTATTCCTACGGCAGTTTCTGTGAAGCTTCCACGCTGTTGACTAAGGAAAAGCAGTCTGACTCCAGAGTCAATTTATCACCTGCCCGAGACAAGAGGAAATTAAGGGTTTCTGTCAAAGCTAAACACTCAGCTTGCTCGGCGGAGGAGACGAGGACATCCTTCACGAATCCATCTGTCAAGATTCCAGACGAGTTACGGCACACGCAGGCGATCGATCCTTCGAATGAACCAGGTTGGTAAGCAGCATCTATATTGACTTTGATTTCTCTTCTTTCTGGAGGGGTCCAGGCTTCGTTGACATCCCAGGTCTCGGCTTCAATTTTCCTGTTAGTGTTGTTCCATTTGCTAAAGTTCCTGAGCATATGTTGTCCTCTCTCTATCAACGCTTCTGGGTCCGGGAGATGATTTCTGAATACTAGGCTGTTCCTTGCTTTCCAGATTTCCCAGAGAATGATCGAGACTAGCTCGAAACCAGGTGAGTCTTTGTTCTTTCCGGGTAAAAATTTTAGCATCCAGTCATCTATTCTGGAAATCTGATATTTGGAATTCTGTATGTTCAGAGCAGGTGCTTCCCAGACTTCCCTTGTCCATTTGCAGAGAAGAAACAGATGTTCTGGCGTCTCTGCATGTGTTCCGTAGTATGGGTAGTTCGGATCAGGTACCATCTTCCTTCTGTACAGGTTTTCCTTCGTCGGGAGAGCATTCTGACACACACTCCAGATGAAATTTCTGATTTTGTGTGGAGTCTTCATTTTCCATATTCTGTTCCAGAGCTTAGTTAGGGGTTGATAGGAGGAGGATGCGCTCTGAGTTTCCATGTTTTCGTTCTTGTGAATGTTGTTGTAGCAGCTTTTAACAGAGTACTCCCCTTCCCTCGTGCCAGTCCAGATCAGCTTATCTTCGTTCATCTGCGGTCTAATTTGTATCGTGAGGATCTCTCGCACTACCTTTTCATCAAATACCCTTTGCAGGACTGGTTCCTTCCATGTGCGTTCTTCCTGGTTTATCAGTTCAGCAACTAATCTTGGATCCCCTGCATTCGCCGGTCCCCCTATCCTTCCCCAGCTTAGCCACTTATCCTCCCTGATGTTGATGTTTTGTCCATTCCCTACTGACCACATTACCGAGTCTTCAATTGATGTTCTTCCCATAAGTATGCTCTGCCATCCCCACGATGGTCTGGATCCCTTCTCTGCCTTCCAGAAACATTTAGTTGGGTAGTAGATACCTTTTAACACCTGACTACACAGAGTTTTATGGTTATGTGCTAGATTCCAAGCCTGTTTTCCCAACATTGCCTTGTTAAAGGATATTAAATCCCTAAACCCGAGGCCTCCCCTGTCTTTTCTCTGTTTTAGGATTTCGGTTTTCCTCCAATGAACTCCCTTTGTTGCGGTTTGATTCTTCCACCAGAAGGTGATTATTTTTTGTTCAATTGTCCGACATACTGAAACTGGGATTTTGAAGATTGACATGGCATATTGTGGTAATGCTTGGACAACAGTTTTTATCAGGATTTCTTTCCCCGCTTTAGACATAGTATTTTCTTTCCACCCTTCGAGCTTCATATTTACCCTTGCCAGGATCCAAGCAAACATTTGCTTTTTGGAAGCTCCCCAATCAGAGGGGATTCCCAAGTACTTACCTGTTTTTTCAATCTCCGGGACCCTTAGTTCTCTAGCCATGTTCCTTCTTAGATCACTAGGGCAATCCTTGCTGAAGAATATGCCCAACTTGTTCAAATTGACTAATTGTCCCGAAGCAAAGCAGTACTGGTTTATGATGCTCGCTAGATTCTGGCATTCTTGTATCTTCCCATCTAGAAAGAAGATTGAATCATCTGCAAAGAGTAGGTAAGAAAGTACAGGTTAGTTTCTATTCAGCCGTATCCCTTTTAATGTGCCGTCTTGCACGGCTTTTTTCATCATCATGGACAGGAAGTTTGCAACCAGGATGAAAAGGTATGGGGATAAGGGGTCACCTTGCCTTATTCCTCTTGTAGGTTGGAAGTAGGGCAGGGGTTCCCCATTAAGTTTAACACTTAGAGAGGTTGTTGTAACGCATTGCATTATCAAATTTACCCATTTTTCATCAAACCCCATTGTGATCATACAAGCCTTTAAGAAATCCCATTCAATCCGATCATAAGCCTTTTGCACGTCTAGCTTTAGAACCGCCTGAAATTTTCGTTTACGCTTCCGAACCCTTATTTGGTGTAAGACTTCCTGTACAACAAGAATATTATCTTGAATTTGCTGTCCTCCTACAAAGGCACTCTGTTCAGCTTCTATCAACTCTGGGAGCCATGGTTTCAGCCTATTTGCTAGTACTTTTGAAATGATCTTATATGCGAAATTGCACAGGCTTATGGGTCTAAACTCTTCCAGCTTCTCTGGGTTTTTTACTTTTGGCACCAAGGAGATAAGTGTTCTATTCAACTGAGGGTCAAGCACACCATTAAGAAAGAAATTCCTGACCTCTGATACTACTTCCTGCTTGATATCTTCCCAGTAATGTTGAAAGAATTGTCCATTCAAACCATCCGGACCTGGGGCCCTCGAAGAACCAAGCTGGAAGGTGGCTTGCTTGACTTCCTCTATTGTAACTTCCTCGAGCAGCCTGATGTTTGTTTCCTGCTTGACTCTACAAGAGCAATATTGAAGTAGTGGGGTGAATTGTCTTTGACCAACTGAGGTATACAGGTCCCTAAAGAAGTCATAGGACATCATCTTTATTTGCTCTTGGTCACGGGTCCAATTCCCTATATTATCCTTCAGCATTGAGATTTTGTTTCTCTATCTCCTTTGTATAGTTGAGGCGTGAAAGAACTTGGTGTTTTGATCCACCCCACTTTAGCCAATTGATCCTCGAGCACATAGCCCAATACATTTCCTCCTGACTCCATAGCCTCTGAACCTCATTCCTCAACTTTTGCAGTTGTACTTTGTCCTTCCCTGCGGTTGGCTGGTTTGTGATGGACTGTATTTGTTCCATTAGGATCTTTATTCTCCCCTGCCCATTGGTAAACTTCCCCTTGCTTCAGCTTTGTAGGGCAACAACAGCCTTTCTCATCCTTGTCCCGAGGCCCTCGTTTTCTGTCGCTGTAGAATACCATGCCCTATTAATTATCTCTTTGCATTCCTCGTCCTCTAACCAGTATGCTTCAAAGCTGAAACTCTTCTTTTTTCTCTTTCGGGCTAGATGTATAGTTACTAGGATCGGGCAGTGATCAGAACCAACAGCCGGTAATGCGTGCACTTCTGCCTCAGGGAACTGTAATCTCCATCTCATGGTGCTAACTGCTTTATCCAGTCTTTCCTTCACAAGCTCATCTCCTTCACGATTGTTAGACCAGGTATATGCACAACCCTTGCTTTCTAGGTCCATTAGTTCACAGCTATGTAAAAACTCCCTAAATGTATGAAGTCTGTAGTGCTCGGCCAAACGTTTGCCCACCTTCTCCCAATGGTACATTATTTCATTAAAGTGCCCCAAGCATACCCAAGGCAGCTGGTTTCTCTGGCTAATTGTATAGATTTCATCCCACGTCTTGGATCTTTCTTGGAAAGTTGATGGTGCATGTACAAACGTAACTCTCATCTTCGTTTTATAGATCTCCTCTTCACATTCGATATCTATTACTTCATCTGAAGCATGTAAGATTGATAGTGCCGCTTGAGCATTCCACAAAATTGCTAAGCCACCCTTTGTTCCCCTTGGATTGACAACAAAGCATTCATCAAACTTCAACGTCCTCCGTACCCCTTGGATCCTTTCTTCTCGGTTCTTTGTTTCCATAAGAAAGAGTAGTTCGGGCCTTTCCTGAGCCACTAGGGCTCTCAAATACTGGACCGTTAGAGGTGTGCCCAACCCTTGACAGTTCCAGCTTATGATTTTCATAATGGCTCCGGTGGCTTATTAGGGCTAGCCACCACAGCCCATTTTTCGGTACCTTCCACTACCCGGATTGGTGTTTTCAGCAGTTGATCTTCATATAATAGTAACGGTTTGTCCCCGTGAGAGTCATATGGGCTGAACCTTCTGGTCTTCTTCCGCATAGGAGTTTTCTTGCCACTTAACTTCTTTTTGTTTGAGCCAGCTTGAACCATGATGGAATTTAGTTCCTTGGGAAGTCCTTGGTCATGAACCAAGAATACGGGAATTTTAACCTGTTGCTCACTTTGATCTTCTGAACTGCTCCTTCCAATGAGTTTAGTTTTTTGCGTTTTCCTCTTCTGATTGAGGAATTTGCTGGATGTGGGTCGAGCTGCTCTCTCCATAGATTACTATTTGTCCAGAGTGTATTGGTGTGTCGGGGATTCTCTCCTCTTCCATTGGTTGAGCTAAGTCTTTGCCGTGAAATAGCTTCCGAAACAGACTATTGTTGCTTACTTCAGCCTTCAGCCAAGGGCCGAAAAGTCTGTCCTCCTCTGTGTTCACATCTTTGACACTAAATGGCAACTCCTCACAGTCTGAAGCATAATGTCCTATTTTTCCACAGGAGAAACAAAAATAAGGGAGCCTCTCATATTTAAAATCCAGCCAAATTTTCTTTCCTTCATTATCAGCAAGCATGCCTGACTGTAGGGGTAAGTTGAGATCCAACGTCGCTCGCGCCCTTCCGTAAGACACCATTCCTCTTGTTTCAATTTTAACTTCTTGTACTTGGCCTATATTTCCAGCTACCTCGCGAACAACTTCCACAGAAAGCCACTCGAAAGGGAGCCCCAGAAAATGAACCCAGAAGTCACTTGAATCGAATCTATAACTCAACGCAGCGGTGTTTGGTTCCCATGGTTTCAAGATCAAGAGATTATTCATGAAAGACCAAGGACCAAGGTCCATCACTTTATTCCTCACAGCTAGGGAATCAAAGGTTATAGCAAAAATACCTTGCTCTAAAGGTGTGAATACTGCACTTTCCACTCTCCACGCTCTCCTCATAGTGTTTTGGAGAGCTTGAAAGTTGATTTTTGGATTTTTTAGAAGTTGTCCTATCAGCGTCAGTCTACCATCCTTACCTTTTGCTGATGCCAGAATGCCTTCCATGTTCTTAGTAACTTTGTCTGTCCACAATCTTCCTAATCGTTTGCAGAGCAGGGCAAGCCTCTGGTTTGCATCATCATCCGACTCCATTGGAGTGTACACAACCCGCCACAGCTATGAAGCCCCGAACTGGACGAGACTAGGATCTCTCGCCTTCACCAAGGGGTTCTACAGCGAGTGTTCTAATGGTTGGATTTGCGAGTTCGGATCTTTATGAGGAAACAAGATGATGGGTTTTGGGTGGGTATTTAGATTACGACTCATTGGGGTGCCGAGAATCAGATATTGACTCAAAGAGAAAGAGCCAGAAGAGGGGAGAGAGAGAGCAACATTTAGGGATTACCTCGACTGAACTTACTTCAAGGGTAGAGGGAAGCATTCACAAGCGAGTTGAGCTGGAGGTTATGAGGTTAGGGTTACCTTTTGCTAAGCTACCCCGATGGGCAGAGGAAAGCTCTTCCGAGAGAAGAGAGAAAACCGACGCTTGTTTTGATTGGTGGATAGAATTTTGGGTTTAATTGTGACAAATATTAGGGAAAATCTCATATTTTGGTGCAAAATGTGATGAGGAATCCAATTTTGGGGTTAAAATCGAAAAATAGGGTCAAAATCAAGTCAAATTTGTGAATTTAGACCAACTCGGGTCTGCCGGGTTGGTCTCCTTCCTTACCCGACTCACCTAGAACACTCTAAACCCAGAAAAAATATCTCTGGCCCCGCCTTTTCACCGCCTTACCCAGACCGATTAAGCACATGTTAAACTCCGATGTTAGCCAGCTAGAGAATCTCCGGCTGGCATCATAGATTCGATCTAACCGACTCGAAGGCCGGTGATAATAAACTTTGGGCGGGAAATCGAGCTAAAAAAGGAGGAAAACACATTATCCCAGGCACAGAAGACGTTCGACGATACTCCCAAGAGAAGAGAGAGAGATAGAGAGAGAAAGAGTGTGAAATCTAGAGAGAGAGGAGTAGAGATCCCTAGATCGAGTGATCAGTGTCGATCGATTGAACGACGCTGGCGAATCGATCGTCCAGGGAGGATCTCCTCCTCGGGTGACCAATGAAAATCTAATAACGAAACTCTGAAAGTTGTGCCCGGCCAGCATGTCCAAAGCCGTTCTGGCGAATCTGAGACCACCAGTTGGAAGTTTGAGTGTCGAAGAACAGCTCCACGGGCACCGACTAGTCTAGGAACTCCGATTTGACCACATTCGAAGAAGGTAAAATCCTCTACTCGTCACGATTTTCCAGATTCGAAAAATGATGAACTTGAGTTCAATCTTGCTGATCATGTGTTTTCTTTTGCAAATCTGAGTTTGTTGACATCTAGAATGAGTTTCTGATCATGTTTTGTTGCTTGATTGCATGATAAATCGATGAGAATGCATAAATCGAGTCAATCCGCCATTGAAACTCCCTCACCGGAGCTTGGAGATCTTTGCCGGAGCACCTCTCTTGTTCATAGGCCACACAAGTTAGTTAATCCTCATCTTGATTGATGATTTGATGTTGATTTGGAATGGTTTAGATGGCTAAGGCGATTAGAATAAGGATTTGAAACTTGGAGAAGCTTGTTTAGGTCAATATCGACTTAGGATTTTTTAATCAGTTTTTCGCTGGCCGGAAGTAGTCCGACAGTGTAATGGTTGTTAGATCGAAAGTAGGTGATAAGAACTTTACTCGGAACTAAATGGAATGGCAAAACACTCACCGAAAGGTCGTCGGCGACATGCTCAAACCGGCGGCCTCGAGAATGTTGAATCCAGAATCACGCCCACCACTTGTTCGAGGAAATGCCCTAAAGAACAGGGGGCCAACGGCACCGTTTGGCATCGTGCCTGTTGAAGCGCCGGTCGGCGCCGGTGACGTTCGGTTCGGTTTGACTGAACCAGACTAAATCGGCCAACCCGGTTCGTTCTTTCGGTGGAAAAATTTTTTAAAAATAAAATATCAAAAATTTAGAAAAATCTAAAGAATTAGAAATTTCGAAAATTGAAAAAAAATAGAAAAAAAAATCACAAAATCCATAAAAAAAAATCTCAAAATTTTGGAAATTCCAGAAAAATAAAAAGTAAAAAAATAGCTCTCCGGAAAATAGATTTAAAAAAAATCAAAAATTTCAAAAATTCACAAAATGACCCACAAACAATGTGGCCAACCTTTGCAAGTGAAATTAGAATTTTTAGAGGTGCCTAAATGGCATTTTTTTTAGAAAATCCTTAGTTTAGGGGTTTTTACCCCTAAAAAACCCTAAACCATAAAATGACATGAATCATCGAATGAATAAGTCTTTAGGGCTTTACTAAGGTTTGGGTGTTTTGAATTGGCTTTCATTTTAGAGACCCAAATTAGGATTGTTTTGCTTGATTGCAATTGATTGTACTGCTTATATTGATTGAGTTTCCACGATTATAATAGTTAGAATTAGTGGATTGACCTCGGAAACTCGTGTGACACGTTAGACACATCATATCATTTTAGACACACTCATGTGCTCGTCCATGGCTGACGTCGGGGAAACGATTTTCATGCCACGAAATCACACAAAAACATGGATAGCTTGAAGTCAACAACAATACTTGAACGAATCAAGCATGTAACCGAGTGCTAGAGTGTCGATTTCACAAAAACATAGTCGGAGCTCTCTTGAGCATTTTGTCAAATACGTGAAGTGCGGTTCGCGACTGACTGGGAATAGGAATAGAACCGATTAAGGCTCAAACCAATAACCATAATCAACATAAAACAAAAGGCAGCACACAACAATAGCCGGGGAAGGCTCGCCGACGCTCGAAACCGCGTACGGTCGGGCGCCGGCGAGTCAACTCCAGTCAGCCGAGACCCAAGAACAGGATGTGATTCGGGCGAAATAAGGGGAGTCGACGGAGCTCCCTACTCGGCTCGGCGGTAGTGAATGACAGATCGGACTATGCCCGGTCACCTCCCGCGCTTTCGAGCTGAGATCCTCGAAAAGCGACCCCCCAAATCACAATACACAACCCGAGAAGGGCTTCGGGCCGGGACCTACCGTGTAGGACGGGATGCGCTAGAGGTTCGTCGGCCACAATTGAGGCGTAGCGGTCACCGATAGGAGACCGTTCGCTCCTTGGATCTCGGTCTCCGACGCTCTCGAACTCCCTCTCTCTCCTCAATCTCTCTGGAACTTTCTCCCTTGGAACCCCCTCTGTTCTCTTCCAGTTCTCTTCCTCTGGCTCTCTCGCTCTCTCTCTCTCGGCCACTCTCCTCTATGGAACCCTCCCCTTTTTAAAATTGACGTTCGTTTCCTTTTGTCCTCCCCATCAGACAGCTTTTGTTGGTCAACCATGTCAGCCATCTTCCCCTTCCATTTACAGCTTAGAAGAGCCATGGATCAATGCGCCTTCCCTATCCTCTCCTTGGAACCAAATCAGGTCCCTTTTTGGCTAAAACGGCTGCAGAATCTCCTCGATGTAGGTCGGAAGAGCTGCGTCGTCTTCGATGCGCCCCCTTTCTTCTGCTTTGTCGCTTTCGGTTGTCTGCTTGCCCCTTGTCGCTTTTGCTTGTCGACTGTTGCATTCTGCTCCGTTCCTATCCTTTGCATCACTTCCTTCTGGCTTCTCAGAGGCGTGGAGGATGAAAGGGGAAAGAAGATGGGCTGGGCTAGAACAAAAAGAAAAGGAAGTAGGGCTGGGCCAGGCCCTAACGAGAAGAGATGAAACAAACAAGGCCGGATTGGATCGGTTCAATCGAACCGGGCCGGATTTTAATTAATTTAATTTAATTTTTTTTTGAAATAAACAAGAAAAACATGTTCTAATAGGCCCTATTAACGTAATTAATTTAATGTCTATATGCCATGAAAATATTTTTGATTTAGGGGTTAAACATTAAGCTCTAATTAAATTTTTTTATGCGATAAAACCCTAAGTGATTGAGCAAAATTTAGGTGTCAACAACTATCTGCATTAACATTTCGCCTAAACAACATATGAGGAATGCTAGGTTGAACAGCAAAACCACCAGACAACACACTGTCGTGTAATTGGTACATAGCAGTATGCTGAGGAACCATATTTGCAGTAGTCACATTTGTTTGAACTGGACCAGACAAATTCACTCTGTTGGCTGCTAGTTGACCTGTATTGATACTCTCGTTCCGATGTGACAAATTAACATCATTACCTTCACTTGTTGTCAATTGGCCGTGTGCTTGACTTGCCAATGTGTTTTCTCCTCTCTGAAGAATTCTTACTGGTGGAAGAGGCATAAGCTGCGCTGTTGTTGCACTGCCAGAGTTTGTAACGATAGGCTGCCTAAGACCTCCGACTGAACCTGGAGGTACAACGAAGACCGTTTGTGGCTGAGAAGAACTCATTGATGAATTCGGCCTTCGAGTGATCTCCTGAACTGTATTGATAAACAATGGCCTAACAGTATCAGCCACGCATCTAGTGACTAGATTAGCCAAATCATTATGTTGTTTTTCCATGATTCTTCTCATAGTAGCAAGTGTAACTGGATTCGGTTCCAATTGCCTTATTTGCTCTTCAGTAAGGTATCTGGGAACGTCCATCTCCCCGTCCTGACCTTGTTTTGTAATTGTTCGCCCGTTTGACGACTCTGCATGTGTCACCCGTTCCACAGCAGGATTCGGGGGTGCACTGCTCCCTGGAACATTGTTATTCTGATCTAATTGGCTCTGACATCTCGTTCGTGCCATCATTACTCCTCCAATTGATCTAAGGGTCCCACCGGGCGTGCTAAAATTATGTTTCGTCGGAAATGTTCTCTCTACGAAATATAATTTACCGAACGTCGTTATTCGGCTCTTAATGAAAGGAGGCTGGGTTCTAGATCCAATTCCGGACAGGAGCAATCCAGGCGTGAATAAAGAACTTGATTTTTACAGAATATTCAGACGAAATCGTCCAATTACTGGCGGCGTCCAAAGTTCATTGACATGATATAATAAAACTACTAACTAAGGACCTAAACAACTACAGCTATGGAAACTGAAAATGCGAAACTAGAAAGTAAGAATAAAAGACAGCATCTGTTTTTTTTATGTGCGAGGGGGGGCTTCTGTTGATAATCAGACACTATTTATAACGCAGACTTGGTAACCGTTCTTGGCATTGTATCCGATACCCATCGTTGATTTCATCTTCACCGTTCATTTAATGACACATGTTTATCAACTGCTATCGATCTTATCTTTTGTATGAAGTGATAACC